AACCACAGCCACTCGGTCTTGGACGGGTTGAGCCTGAGTCTGTTCCTCCCCATCCAGACCCTCACGGCCTCCAGACACCGGGTCATCACGTCAAGGGCATCGTTGGGGTGGCCCGGGGTGGATATGTACAACTGAGTGTCATCAGCGTACTGATGGAAATCCACCCCAAAGCCACGAATGATCTCCCCCAGCGGCTTCAGCTCTTCAGCTTCTTCAGCTCTGACTGGATGGTAGTAAATGGAAGGATTTATATTCCTGCAGCCAGCTGTTCATTTGCATTCTTTTATGAGTCGTTAAAGCTACCTGGAGGCTTATCTGGACAGACTTGAACACTGGGCGCTATCTAACAAAATGAAATTCAATGGTGAAAAAAGTAAGGTTCTACATTTATGCAAGAAAAACCAAATGTACAGGTATAGTATAGGGGTGCCTTGCTCAATAGTAGTAACTGTGAGAGGGACCTCGGAGTCCTAGTGGACAATCACTTAGATATGAGCCAGCAGTGTGCTGCAGCTGCCAAAAAAGCCAACACAGTGCTAGGCTGCATTAACAGAGGGATAAAAATCAAGATCATGTGAAGTGTTAGCACCACTTTATAATGCCTTGGTAAGGCCACACTTGGAATACTGCATCCAGTTTTAGTCACCACGATGTAAAAAAGATGTTGAGACTCTGGAAAGAGTGCAGAGAAGAGCAACAAAGATGATCAGGGGACTGGAGGCTAAAACATATAAGAAAAGGCTGTTGGAATTGGGTATGTCTAGTTTAACGAAGAGAAGGACGATGGGGGACATGATAGCAGTCTTCCAATATCTCAGGGGCTGCCACAAAGAAGAGGGAGTCAAGCTATTCTCCAAAGCGCCTGAAGGCAGGACAAGAAGCAACGGATGGAAACTAATCAAGGAGAGAAGCAACCTAGAACTAAGGAGAATCTTCTTGACAGTTAGAACAATTAACCAGTGGAACAACCTGCCTCCATAAGTAGTGAATACTCCAACACTGGAAATTTTTAAGAAGAAAGAAGAAACTGGACAGTCATTTGTCCAAAATGGTATAGGGCTACCTGCCTGAGCAGGGGTTTGGACTTGATGACCTCCAAGGTCCCTTCCAACTTTATTATTATTGTTGTTGTTGTTGTTGTTGTTGTTGTCTTCACCTGAGTGGTGCAAATGGGTGCAAAGCCTTCTTGGAACTGCTGAAAAGACTGTGTTGTAGACTGGAGGTAGATGATGTCGGATCCCTCCCCCTCTGTGGAGAGAGGGCTGTTCAATTTTGACATAGATGGCCTCTTTGACCGCTCTTTCAAACCAGCGGTCCTCTCTGTCCAAAATGTGGACTTTTCTGTCTTCGAAAGAATGGTCCTTGTCTTTTAGATGCAGATGGGCAGCTGAATCTTGTCCTGATGTGTTTGTTCTCCCATGTTGTGCCATGCAACACAGATAAATCTCCAGGTGGCCTCAACGTCTCTCTAAAAGAATGCAAATGACCAGCTGTCTCCAAGGAATATAAATCCTTCCATTCCCCACCATCCAATCAGAACTGAAGATGGATGATAAGCGAAATGTCTTCAAAGAAAAACAAGAAAGTCCAGTTGCCTCGTCAAAAAGCATCTTTGGGACATTTGTCTGCTAAGCCACACATGTGGAGAAAGAGACATAAATAGAGTCCTTGGTGCTTCCCTGAGCTTGGATTCTTTGCAAATTTATTTCTTTTTTTAAATATATTTTATTATTTTTAACATAGTCACCTTAATATTTGGTAAACAGTGTATTGTCTGGGTTTATATTTAAAAACAATAACAATTAATTTCTATAATTGCATAATCTATTTTACATAGTAGCTTTCCTTGGTTTTTTCTTCTTCCAATGATGTTCTCTTTTGCCAATCTTAAATTAATACATTTCTTGGTATTTTGATAGATATTAAATATAAACATTTTTCTAGTATTTCTACAAGTAACCACAACATCAATATAAAGCTTCTTTTTCTAGTTAATCATCTTAATTACCTCCCAGTCCTTCTTGGAAATGCTGTGATTGGATGGTTGAGTTTATGCAAAAAGTTTTAACTCAATCAATGAAGCTGGATTACTTTTAATATTTGTATTCTTAGCATGTAGTGTCAGCTCAAGCCACCTTAATTGGGTCAAACATGCATTCATGGATCATGGTCGTAATTAGGTTATTAGATGCACAAAAATTCAGTTGGAGTGACAGGGATATGTACAGTATGTGTCATCCTAAGCCACATCCGGCCCTTTAGCTGTCTCTGTCCGGCCTGCATGAGGCCAACTGGAAATTAGAAATTAAATGTAAATAAGCATATGCCCCGCACACAATACAACTGCATGGCTTTTATTGTGAAGGCCACTCTAGTTGGTCAGGTAGATGTGACTGGCAAGAGACAGTCCCTCAGATAACTTGATCCCAAGCCATGAAGGCTTTAAGGGTGACAACCATCACCTTGAATTGCACCCGGAAGCAAATCGGCAATCAATGCAGCTCCCACAGGAGAGGTAATACAGGTGCACACTGAAGTCTGCACAAAACCATGTGGGACGCTGCATTTTGCACCAACTGGAGCTTCCAGATTCTTCCAAGGGCAGCCCCATGTAGAGTGCATTGCAATAGTCAAGACAGGAGGTGATTAGGGCATGAGTGACCATGAATAGGGATTGTTGGTCCAGGGAAGGTTGTAATATTACAGAGTCATAAAAAGTGAGTTTATATGTTCACGCGTGTGTGCCTATACACCTTAACAGCCCTATTGGTTCAGCCCTCCACAACAGTCCCAGTTTCTCACATGGCCCTCCAGGAAAATTAATTGCCCACTCCTGCTCTAACCTTAACCCTACTTTGATTGTCTGATAGAAGAAGGTGGACTGAGCATCTATAGCTTCATTTTAACATCTTCTTGCTTTTACAGATGCCATTCTTCTCTATAAGCTCAATTGTTTACAATATCACTTTGAAGACACAGAATGTAATATAAGGCATATTTGGGCACCTGGCTAGAATAACAGAATGGGGAAGAAATAAATAGGCTTTCTTATAAATATTTGAAAAAAAAATATGTATGTGAGAATGGAGAAGAGGATCCTTTCATTGCCAAAAGACTGAAAAGGGAGAAATGTTATTTGTGGTTGAATGAAACTGGAGATACTGATCTACTAGGGTTCCACTGAATCTTTCCCCCTCCTAGATCCCAGCCTGATCAAGCCTTCCATCCAGATTATAAACGCAGAACAAGATGCTCCAGAAGCAAACATCTCCATACGGTGTGAGGGGACAGAACCAGATCTGATTTTTGCTCTTCTGAAATCAAAGCAGCAGATAGATTACAAGGCTGCAAAGCTGGGGGAAAGGGCAGTGAATTTTTCTCTCCCCTGGGTGAAGTTGGAAGAGGCACAAAATTATACCTGCCAGTACCAGAACAAAAGCAGCCCCTTTGTCTGGTCAGTGCCAAGTGACCCACTGGAGAGGCCTCGGAAAGGTAGGATGTCAACATAGCATATTTCATTTTCCCCATTTGCCCTGTCAGTGAATCAGAGACAGACTGGATTTCTGGATACACTGTCTACACAACACGGAGGTCACACACATCTGAATATGAGCAGGAGTAGGTGGGCCTGTGTCTACCTTGGGACTTTTGAAATGTTTTGTGGGTGCCATCAAGTAAAGGTAGAGAGACAGAAATATTGACATATAGGCTGACAGCTAGACTTTCTACTTTTTTATTAGGCTAATGGAAATTAATTTAATTTAAGAGACTGAAAAAGAGCTAGAAACGCAGAAGAGAAAGTAGACAAAGACCAGAGGTCTATCAGCATTGCTGAGTTATTCCATCACCAGATTATAACAGATCATAAAAACTGTGCATATTATAGGCTATTAATGAAATAGTGCACAGCTTGCAACGATTGCTTGGGTTAACCTAAAATGAGAAGGTTTAGTTAATGATAGTGGTGGTGGTGGTGGTGGTGGTGGTGGGGATGGTAGTGGTGGTGGTGGTGGAGGAGGAGGAGGAGGAGGAGGAGGAGTTATCCCTTGACAGCACATGTTCAAATTATTTTACCAATGACAAGAAAATGCTCTCAAGAAAATGTAGTAGAGATGGAGGTGTGTATTCCCTTTTGCAGGTAGGGTGAAGGAGAAGGGATTTGGTCACAGTAGGACCTGCAGTAGCTTCAGCTACAGGCTCTACCTGACCCCTGAAGTTAATCACATGACCAGCTTCAGATGGACCTCCAGGCATGAAAGAGTGCCAAGAGCAGAAAAAAGTATTTCTAGTTGAAAAATAATGCAGAAAGAAACATAAATGGAGTCCTCGGAGTCCTTCTCTGAGGCTGGTTGTTTGGATATCACATTACCCAACTTCTATAGGTAACATCATCAGCGTGAGTGAGTGTAAGAATTGCTTCAGTAGCTTGCCCTGCCTATTTTGGTGGGTGTGTAGTTTTCTTTTTTCTTTTTTTATTAGGGTATTGTTTTCTGCTTTGCTTGATTGTTTGTCCGGGGTTAATCCCTGCTTATCTCAGTGTTGGCTGCTGGAGAGGATGTGTTCTGGAATAGAATAGAATAGAATAGAATAGAATAGAATAGAATAGAATAGATAATCCTTATCTTGAATCAAACAACCAAGCTCAGAGAGTACCTAGGATTCCACAATTCAGCCCCACATCAAGAAAAACACAGCTGTGCAACTTGCATAAATTGTTAAAAGTTGCATTGTCTGTAAAGTAGAATAAAATGGATTTCAAAACCAACAGGCAGTTCTAGTATTCTTCCCAGTAGATGATTGATGGTAATGAGCTGATGAGTGGAGGAGAAGTTCAAATGCTATTTTGTTGTAGTGGTTAAGATGGTGGATTAGAAACTAAACTAGTTATGGGTTCTAGTTCTTTAGATACAGAAGCCAACTAGGTAACTTTGGGCCAGTCCATCTGTCTTAACCCAACCCACTTCTTAGGATTGTTCTTATGGGAAAATGGAAAGAGGGAGCAATGTGTACTCTGCCTTGAATTGTACAAAATAAAGGCAGGATGTAAATAAAATGAATAAACTGGAAAAGGCCACCATTGTTTTCCTTGCTATTTGCCTGGAATCTTTAAGGGGCTGTTAAGAAGTTGAGAAGATGAACCAATGGGTGGACTGGACTGGTAAAAAGATCACAATAGGTCAGTGATGGCGAACCTTTTAGAGACCGAGTGCCCAAAAACTGGCCTCATCCCGTCTGTAGGGCCACCCACCGCCTCCACAGCCCATTGCAGCAGATTGCCCCAGTGGCCCAGCAGAGCCATGGTGGCCACGCCCTCCGCCCATGCCCCACATCATCTGCACATGATGGGGTGCAAGGGTCGAGTCTTGTCCCTGCTGCCTGGCTGCCATGTCCTTGGCTGCACTGCTCTGTGTGGGCCACACCCGGGGGCGACTCTCCTCCGAGGGGCTGTTGGTGAGGAGTGGGCCGCAGGGGGAGGCGGGGCTGGGGTGACGGCGCATGTGCCCACGGAGAGGGCTCTGAGTGCTACCTCTGGCACGCGTGCCATAGGTTCGCCACCACTGCAATAGGTAGTCATTCATTGACAACTATGCATTTCTTAGATAGCATTATTAGTCTTCTAATCAAGATGTCTATGGCTTTACAGCTGCATCCTTAATAACTCTATGGACAAGCATTGCTGCATTCCTTTTCCTTCTGGCTGTCCTCCTACTGGTACTTATCCTCATTTTATACAGAAAAAGAAGAAAAGGTAAGCAATGTGGGTTGGTAGAGGAGAATATTTGTAGCTCAGGTTTGAAATGAGCTTGGTTGTTTTCTGGCAGACGTTTCATTATCCAGACTAGGTATCATCATCAGTGCCAGCAAAAGGAGCACCAAGGACTCCCTTGGATATGGACTGCTTTACATCAGCTGAGATTAAGGCTATACCTCTCTGGTTGCTTAAGAGTCTCATTTGATTAAAAACCTATTCATAGTACAGACAGTCCTCAATTTATGACCACAGCTGAGCCCCAAATTTCTATTGTTAAATGAAATATTTGTTAAGTGAATTTTGCCCCATTTTATGACCTTTCTTGACACTGTTGTTAAGTGAATCGCTGCAGCTGTTAAGTTAGTATCATGGTTGTTAAGTGAATCTGGCTTCCCCATTGACTTTGCTTGTCTTAAGGTTGCAAAAGCTGTTCACATGACCCCAGGACAGTGCAACTGTCGTAAGTATGAACCAGTTGCCAAGCATCCGAATTTTGATCACATGACCCTGGGGATGCTGCAATGATCCTAAGTGTGAAAAAGGGTCATGTCACTTTTTTCGGTGCCATTATACCTTTGAACAGTCACTAAATGAACTGTTGTAAGTCGAGGACTACCTGTACAAAGGTGCAGTTTGTGTGAGAAAGACGAATTTAAAAATGAAATAAGATTCTAGTCCTTATAACAGCAAGGAAATAGGTTGCAGAACGCATATGGACAATTCCATTTGGCCTCTTTGGAAAAGCTCGCGACCAGAAGTAGAAATGGCTCCAAACTGACTTGATTTGGGAAGGAGGTTTGTGCAGGTAACCATCCCAGGTAGTTTAACATGATTGCTATTATCATTTAATTGTTTTATTTTGCAACTATTGTTTGCTGTTATAGCTTGGATTAGTCTATAAATATTACAAATACTTTAAATCACTGTAAAAGAAAATCTAAGGAGTCCCCTTACCAAACATTTTTTGGTGAATCAGTACAGGTGTTCCTGAACTTACAGTAGTGGCCAAAATTGTGGAAACCTTTTGGGAAAAGTGTACAGTAGAAATGCCACCTTTGGTTAAGTTTCCACCAATTTTTCTTCTAATTTCTTTATAACTGTAGCCTTGTTCACTTAATAATACTATTTTACTTCGCTTTCTGGGCAACCAGTCAACTCTTTGCACTATTATTACTTTAATTTTATTACGTTTTACAAGATCATTAAGTGAAAGAACACAAAAAAAACCCCAACCAACTTGATAGCGATCACATAACACACTGACAAATGTCCTCCTCTCATTCAATACAGGACATCAATAACTGAACCCTACTGTGATCTGATTGGCTCATTGCCAAAACAAGATGACAGCTGATTGGCTCTCTAAACACTCATGCTCATTGGCTACAATCAGATGAAGGAAAGCTACCTGATATCAACCTAAGCAAGTTGTGCTTCCTTTTTCTGGTTGTTTGGCTATAACCTTTCATAGAATACAGATAATTGAGCAAACTTTGTTGCATTACATTCTTGACTAAATTATCTTTCCATTGATATATAATTTTATGGTACTACTCCAAAACAAAGTGGTGTTATTAGCCATCAAACTTCAAAAATACACTTTTCCCAAAAGGTTTCCACAATTTTGGCCACTACTGTAGAGTCACAATTGAGCCTAAAATTTGTTAAGTGAGTTTTGTCCCATTTTACGATCTTTCTTGTCACAGCTGTTAAGTGAATCACCACAGTTGTTAAGATAGTAACACGGTTGTTAAGTGAATCTGGCTTCCCCATTGACTTTGCTTCTCAGAAGTTCGCAAAAGGTGATTACATGACCTGCAACCGTCATAAATACATGCCAGTTGCCCAGCATCTGAATTTTGATCATGGGGATGCTATAGTGGCCATTAAGCGGGCACAATGATCATAGTCACTTTTTTTAGTGCCATTATAACTTTGAACCGTCACTAAATGAACTGCTGGAAGTTGAGGACTACCTATATTTTGATACTGAATTGCCTGTAATGTGAGTTTGGTCCACTTTTCAGGTTGCAGGAGGTATAAAAGGTTGGGAACAGAATGGTGTGGAAAATTCTGCATTTCTGTGGAGTCCAGAAACCAATGTAAAATGTACCTGCTTGATTGCAGAATTCTCCTAATATAGAATATATGCAGCCAGGAGCTTGGGTGTAGAAAATAAGCCAGCATTGAAAATAGGCCAAAGAAGGATTTTTCACAAGATCTCTTTAACTTACAGACGCTGTTACCAAAGAAAGCGATGGACCACCAAAGATGGTAAGAAACATTATCGGCACACTAGTCCTATAATTGTCAACATGTCATCCATGAATCTATCAGTCGTAAATCAATATGGCAGGGCTAATTTTCATTTTTAAAATGAGGGTTCACAAAAGGCAAAGAAAAGTATCTTGGACTTAAGAAAACTTTCGCATTTTATATTAGGCCAATATTTTTACTGGGTCTCCTAAATCAGCAGTCCCCAACTTTTGCAGCTGGACGGCCCAGCTGGGGGCTGGGAGAAGGGAATCAAGCCGCATGAGCAGCAGGCTGGCATGTACACACATGTACATGCAGCTCAACTGCAAGCTGAGCTGCATATGTGTGTCGGCTCGCTGCTCGTGCAAGCCAAGCTGCACATGCATGTTTGTGCGCCAGCTCACGGCCCAGTAGTGGGCTATGGCCCAAGGGTTGGAGACTCCTGTGTTAACTGATCACAAGCAGTGTGCAAGTTTCGAGGTAAGTTTGAATGTCAGCAAAGGAATGAGACAAGGCTGTATACCGTCTCCTTATTTATCAAACCTATGTGTTGAATAAACATTGAAAGAGGTTGGATTGGAAGATGTTTTTAAAACTAGAAGAAGAAACATCAATAACCTGTGCTATGCTGGCAATCTTATTTCTGGTAGTTGAGAATGCAAATGATCTGCAAGCTGTAATAATGAAAGGCAAGCAGTACAGTGAAAAAAAATGACTTAAGATTTGCAAGAAATATATATTGAACTGGTGGATAGCTTCTGCCTTTTAGAATCAACTACTACTAGCAATAAAGGAACCAGTGGTCAAGAAATATGCCACAGACCAGCACTTGGTAGGGGAGCAATGAAAGCCTTAGAAAAAAGTTATCCTTGTCCTTGATGTATCTAATATTATGCAGGCAATGTTTTTCTTTGATATTCTATGGAGGTAAATTTTGGACTTTGAAGAAATAGGAAGGGTATTGATGCTTCTTAACTTTGGTCAAAAGTTGGAATTGAAGAAATCTCTTGAAGATATCAAGGACAGCCCAAAAAGCAAGACGAAACAAAAGGATCATAGAATAAATCAATCCAGAGCCTTAAATCACAAAATAATCACGTCCCAACTGTTATGTTTGGAACATATTATGCAAAAACCCAGCCTTACTGAGAAATCCTGGGAAAAGTGGAAGGAAAGAGAAAAGGATCTCTATCAGCACTTTGGAAGGACTTAACTGCAGCAGTGATGGTGCACCATGGGGGGATCTGAAGGGTCAAGTTGGGGACAGATCCTGGAAAAGGTCTATTAATGTGGTCACTAAGAGTTGATAGCATTTAATCAATCACAGGGCCAAAAATGGCTATTGAAAGACATACTTAATTTCCAAATCTGCTTCTCCAACACATCACCAAATAATGGTTTTCAATATCCAAGTCGCCTCATAGTACATGATTAATCTGCAAAAGTTCTAATGAGCTCAACCCTGGAAGGGGTTTTTTTTTTATGATGTTTCCAAACATTCATTATTTGGGGGGGGGTGTAAAATTCTGCCTAGTGATGAGAATGTGCAATTAAACTTGCTAACTCAGAACAAAGAATGTGGCCACTTCTGCTTTCTACACTGTCCTTTGTAAGATGAAATCAAAATGAGTTCCTGTAAAACTCCAGATTATATAATTAGGAGGATAACTGGAAGAAACCATGTGATCAAGAGTCCTGCATATAGCATTTTGAGAAAATTAGCCATCAGTAAGGCTCTTGAAGGAAATTATGTGTGTATGTGTATATAATTATACATAATTACACACACACACACACACACACACACACACATGCATCTATACACCAGCATCCCAACTACCACATCAAACAGGCTCTCAATGAATATTGAGATTCATAATATTTTAAATTGTTGCCTACTTTGAATAGCCAAGCCAGCCTTAGGTTTCTATTGGAAGAACATGAAGGCAAGTGACAAAACGTGTGACATGATATCATAACATAAAACCACCTCTTTTGGCATTTGGGGGCACCAAAGAACATAAGGATGTCTGGGCTGAGAGGGAGTGACTGGCCCAAGACCAACCAGCTGGCTTTCATGGCCAGGTGGGACTTGAACTCAGAGTCTCTCGCTTTCTAGTCCAGTGCCTTAACCACTAGACCTAACTGGCTCTTGGTTAAGTATGGATACCCCAGCATTAGTTAGCTGTTCAGGAGAGGCCACACTTAATGTTTTTTAGAGCATACTTAAAGGCTTCTATTGAAACATTAGCAGAAACACTGCACTCTCCATTTCTTTCTTTTCTCCTCTGCAGTTCTTAAGCTCTCCCATGGAGGAAACACCTGATGAAGTTTCTTATGCTGTAATAAATCACAATTCACTGAAAATCAAACCAACAACTCTTTATGATACTCCTGAATCCTGTGTCTATGCAACAGTGTCCCAAGAAAGCATTAAGGAGACCCAATAAGGAAGGCTATTCAGAAGGGAAGATCATTCTGAGATGTTGGTATACCCATTTATACTATGGATACCCATGTTCAGATCATCTTGCATATTCACATCCCCCTTCCTCTTTCACAGTTTTAATTTTTCCATCTCAGAGGTATGCTGGGTTCAGGCGAGCACATATCCTGCCCATAAGTGTCTTCACAAGCAGATTATTATAATAACCAGTACTGCAAACTGAATCCTGGCATCCCGTAACTCAAGTCCAATTTTTTCCAAGACTGAGATGGGCCAACAGCAAAAAGAATCAGACAGGGAGATGTTAAGAGACTCACTATGGAATTACGAGTATCAGAACTCTATAACTGTAATCACGGCTAGAAGTGAATATTTAAGGAAAAACTTCTCTGAAATAAAATAATATATTTTATTATTTTTGCTTTTAGATATGAACTCTATCCAGAGGCAACTCTACCAAAACCATTGGATCTTGCTTGCTTTTTTCCTGACTTTTCTAGGCAGCCATGAGGAATTTTATGTCTTGTGAAAGCAAATTAACCTGTACCTATGGTAGATATTGTTTACACCCCAACAACCAACCTCATTATGATGGTGAAAATCCCCTTTTGCAACTGATCTTCCATTGCCAGACACAAAGATGGATCTTTTGATTCTAGAATGGACATGGATAAGGCTGATTTGAATATTCTTACTATAATTAAAAAGGTGAGAAGGGTGTAAAAAATTCCATGAGCCTTTTCATATTCAGGAAAACATGTTCTGAAAATAATACCAACAACACCAAAAACCCAACCTTTGCAGTGGCTATATGACATTTTGATCACATTATGGTATATTGTTCTGACTCTTGTGAGAACAATTGTGTCCTCACCTGGGCAATTTGTTAACAAAAGGTTAACAAAAAGAGATAAATAATTTGAGACGGCTGATAGGTTATTAAATAGCCTCTTTCCCTCCAAAAGTACAGCCACCTTTCCCAACTTAGGGGTTACACACTGTAATCCGATCAAATCTGGTACAGTAATGTGAACATGCCCTTGAAAAATAAAATGAAAGGAAGTTGACCCACCATGGGATTGTAGCAGGACCACGGCAACTTGTAGAAGAATATTTTAGCAGTGTGGAAGAGAGGAGGACAGGGCTGTGTCCCCCTCTCTTGATGACAAGACAAATTCAGGGTCACAGGGACAGAAGATACAACTGAGGTTTTTAAACTATACTGAGGGGGGGGAGAAACAGGAGTAATTTGAGGTTCCTTCTGTTGGCTTTGTTGAAGTACTATATGTATTCCTGAGAA